GTGGGGGCACAGCGGCTGAAGGCTGAGCTGGAAAAGCACATGACCCTGGTCATCACACCACCCCTGCCGGCTGCAATCACCCGCCTTTTACAGATGCTGAAAGGCAGCTAAGAGAGGCCAAGGCCTGGCTGGAAGCCACAGCTGGAGGCCAGCGCAGCAGGGATCTGAGTCTGAGGGCCGCTCTGGCAGTGCAGGCTGATTCCTGCTCCGTAAAATACGCTGCTGGGCTGGCAATGGCCCAGGCAGGCCGCCCTGAGACACAGACAGCACCAGCCCCAGCACCCTGCAAGTGCCGGTGTCACCCAGCGCCTTCCTGGCCTCCCTGCCCAGGGCAGACGAGCGGGGTGCGGGCTCTAGAACAGGACGGCCTGTTGGAGGAGCGAAGGGGGCACGAGGGAGGCCCGTCTGCACTCCCCGGAACAGCCAGGCTCGCACAAACACGCTTCAAAAGAAGAGGCATCAATCTTTAATGCTTCTGCTCCCTGGGTGGGACCCCCCGTGCGTCACAAACCCACAGCCCTCTGGAGAAAGGCATGGACTGGCTGCTGTGAGGAGCTTGTCAAGGTGGATGCTGAGTGCACCCCAAATGCCAGGCCCACTTTCCAAGATCTGCAGAAGCTCCCCTCACTGTCTCCCCTACGCCAGAGACATTTGCATTTCTTCAAACGATACCTGATCTACAAGTACTGCTACAGTTAATATCACCTCTTTCTAGATATTCGTGTCAAAACACAAGGTGCCCCTTGATGCCCTTGGTTTTTGCTGCTGTGCCCGGCACACCAGGAGGCCGTGTTGTCTGGCTCCTGGGAGAGTCACACTGGAGATAGTCATGTGGAACTGAAGCAGGGCAGCTGTGATGAGTTAGCCCCCTGGAGAGCAGAGCTGGGGGCGGGCAGGGGGAGGGTCCGCAGAGAGGAGGAAGGTTGAGGCCAGCTGCAGCCCAGAGGTCAGAGGGAACCGCCGGCCAGGTTGGGGGGGGTGGGGCGTGAGGCCTGGCTGGTTACTTCCCCTCTCCAGGCTGTAGGCTATTTTATCAGTCACAGTGCGGTCAGGACAGGGTCACCCAAAGGCACCTTCCTGAAGTTAAGCTGAGGGAATTTGGCAAACAGCAGGTGCAGAAAGGACTTTCTGGCCTCCCCTGAAGCAGATCATAAGACGCTCAGGTGAGACACCCTCGGGTACCTGGAGGACTGGAACATCTTTGTCCCCAGAGAAGGATCCAGAACAAGAGGCTTTGCATTTCCCCAGCTTACACAGTCGCTCAGGCCCTTTTACCAGCTTATCAGGTCCTCCCACGACTCTGCTTTTCCTCACACCCAGGAGTAAAATGCTCAGGTTTCACCTTTTTTGTTTCTTTATTCCCATGTCAAGGCTCCCATGTCATATAAAACTTAGATGAAATAAATGCATTTGCTTTTCTCTCATTAATCTGTCTTTTGTTGCAGAAAATGGGGCCAAGAAGTTAGAAGAGTAGAGAGAAAAATAGAAGTTTCCTCCCCTAATGGTACAGATCTCCCAGTGAAGCATTTCAACTCTGGGCTCTGAGCCCCAACTTACTGTGTGACCTTGGAAAAGTGACTTCATGTCGCTGAGGCACTCTGTCCTTACCCACAGGGTGGGGAGAAGAGGTGTCCTCTCCTCCTGGACCGGTGTGAAGATTAACTTCAGTGGTGGGTTCATGGAGCACCCGGCTTCAGTGTGCACTGAGTCCTCAGTGAAAGGTCACCCAGGCCCTCACCCAGGCCCCCAGAGTGGCAAACGGTATCAATATCAGCTCCACTACCTCCCCAGGCCCGACAGAGCAGGAGGTATGAAAGACCTCCAGCCTGTACTGACACAAGCTATGCAACTTCTATCGACCGACAAATTCCAGATAGAAAAGAAAAAACTCTGAATAATCAGAATTTCTACTGCTGACTTATGTTACGGCTTCCCTTTTTTGTATAATCATAATATCAAAATATTCTGAACCATCTGTTTACAACTGGATTGTCTTAGCCTCATAAGGCGGCTGCCTGCCCAGGCAAGCTGCCCAGGCCAGGAAATTCCTCTGTCTTCTGAGACAAAAGGCAAGCCCCAGGAGAGATAAGAGTGCAGGGCATAAAACTCCTGGAAAGCTTCCTTAGTTTCTTTAAAATAAAAAGCAAATCTCAGATAAGACTCCCAGGGCATAAGGACTCCTGGACAATTTTTAACCTTGTTGACACAGGTGTTGCTTAATCCACAACTGTACAACTTTCTCTTAATTTACTTACTCCTTTTTTAAAAAAAAAAAGATTTATTTATTTATTCATACAGACTGGGGTACAAGCCAGAGATGCGGAAGGTGAGAGGATTCACCAGAGACAGAGTGGGGAGCAGAACAGGCAGATCGACCAGGTACATTGCTGAGGGGAGCAGCAGGCGGGTCAGGAGAGGTCTGCTGTGCCCTGGCGGTCACCTCGGGGCAGGCGGGATCGAACTGGAACTCATGCGGAAGTGGCTTAAGCTTCTTAGTGCAGGGCTGTAACCCGCTGCACCACCAGGGAGGACCCTACTTACTCCTTTTTAAAACAAGTTCTAACTACTCTCTCTCTGCTGGCCTTAAATGAGCCACTAGCTTTTATTTAGACAATCACTGCTAACACTGCTAACACAACTTATTACTTCCCTAAGACCCCAATAACCTTTTGCTAACGAGCTCATCCTTTCCCAGACCCTTCTTCCTTTGAGTTATAACTGAACATCTGTACACATGACAATTATCACAAAAATGTATAGTTTAATATACCATAAAATGTTAAGAGAAAAACACTTTGTGCCCCTTGTCCTTGAGAACGTTTATGACAATTTATGGCGATCTCTCATTAACTCACTCTATGCATTATTGCAATTAACTATTTGCTATACAGTATAAATAAAGACCTGCTGAGGGAGTGAGCAGGAAGACTTGCACCCAACCCTGACTCCGTCTTCCTTGCGCCCGCTTCCCTCTTCCCTTTTGGAATCTCCACTGGCAGCTCACACCTTCCCGCCTTAGGGCCCTGCCTGTCTCGCCTCCGGACACCTCTATAGTTGGGGCTGGTCCCCAGCACTGTACACTGCGCGCGACTCCCCAGGTCCTTCTGGGGGCCTGCAGCCCTCCCCCGCCAAGCCTTCCCCTCTCTGCCTTCTGTCTCCTTGCCTTGTGCTGTCTGCAGGACGTTACACTTACCGCAAGTATCTATCGCCCCAAACACGCTGACTCCCAGCCTGGAGCCCTGTGCAGCGCCCTCTGCAAGCTGTGCCAGCTTGAAGGCCAAGTCCTTCTCATCTCAGGGGCTTCTCCTGCCCATCACCAGCCTCTTGGACTCACCCCAAAAGAGGCACCTGGTGAACAGAGCCAGGGAAAGGGCTGGGAAAGGGGGTGAGGGCTGCAGGAGCTGAAGGCTGAGGACCAGCGGGACCAGGGCACAAGAAATGGGTGGCAGGACCCTGGGCTGGTGGTTCCCAAACTTGTATGACCTCTGCTTCATCTGCATCTGCTTTAGCCTCTTA